TCTCGGCATCTGTTCTGTGCAGTGAGCGGCAGAGAAGCAGCACATTCAGTTTGCCGCACCGCAGCCGACTCGTCAATAAATGAGTACAAAACAGCGTTTCCAAGCACCTGTCGCTTACTGATTGTTTGGAATTATAAATATGAGCGTAGTTCATATCACATGCACTTTTTTGTTTGTCGTTTTTTTTTAGTCAGACGCAGGCAGTGCGCTGCATGAGACAAAAAAGTAATATAGCCAAAACAACCGCATAGCCGCTCTTTAGTGTAGATGCATGTTGATTTTATCAGACGATGCCGTGATTATAAATGAGAGTGACTCCTGGTTAACGTATTAAAAGGGGTCGTGTTTAGTCACTATTTAGTGTGGTATTTTTTGACAATATTCACTCATCATGACAGTAAAATAGGGCATTCTAAGTCAATATACTGCAGTATTTCCTCCCTCAATCAGTAGAAAATATGGTTAACACCCGGTCATGCATGAAAAAAAATAAAAAATACACCGTCATATACCGTGAAACCGGTCTAATTTTGAAAAATACCGTGATATACATTTTTGGTCATACCGTCCAGCACTACTCTGCAGCCTCGTTGAGTTCATACTCGTGCTTCTGCAAACTATATTATCTCTGGACTTGAAAGAGTTGTCTAAAGCTTAGTGATAGTGACGTTGAAGTCGTTTGAAGCTGGAGCAGTTCGTTTTTAGCCCAGCTTTAACTTTTGACTTCTGGTGAATGTATTCAGGCTTCAAAAGTTCATTTGTGAGGATTATCATGTAAGAATCAAACTTTTGTTTACTCGTTTGCTGCGATAATCCAAAAGGCTGTTGGCTTTTTGTTGAGAAAACCCGGGTGATGCAAACTTCCGGGTTGGCCTACAAAAAAGTGCTCTATTATACTTCATCCAGGGATTGTTCCATATTAACATTCGTGAGGTCTGCGCATCCAAATGATTTAGTTTTACTAATTTAAATATTTACTGCTTTTCAGTCTATCAGCACGTCTGTTTTCAATCAGCTTAATGGTTTTTCAAGTTCATGGGTGAATCTCATGAAACCATTCAAGCACATGTATTTCACACTAGAATAAATAATTTCATTAAAAATGTTTTTTTTTTATATATATATATATATTTATAAATATATTATAAATACATTCATTTGTATTTTTTATTTTAAAATATTCTTAAACATATTTATTCAAAAAATTATATTTGCTTTTATAAAATGAATCATATTGTTGTGAATTATAACATTATTTTCATGACAGTTAAACACATTTACCCCTGAAAGTTTCATCACTTATGCTTTTGCATTACAAAAGTGTTGCTTTAGTTTTTTTTTTCGTGCGATTGTTTGTAAAGTCGAATCACAGCAAAACAGAGAGAACGAGATCGGTTGCAAGGAATGTGCTTCTTTGGAATGGGTTTGTTTACACCTCATTCTTCTTGTTGCAGATGTGCTCTAAACACGGGACAGATTTCCTGGAGTATAAATGTCGTTACTGTTGCTCTGTGGCTGTGTTCTTCTGCTTTGGGACGACACATTTTTGCAACGCCTGTCATGATGATTTCCAGAGGATGACCAGTGTCCCAAAAGAAGAGCTGCCTCATTGTCCTGCTGGTAAAACACTTCATACATGTTATAAGACAAGTGCTTGCATTAAAACTTCCTGTATGGAATGT